GTAATGTGCGTAGAATAGCAGTGCAACAGGTAGAATTACATCTTCTTTATAAGGTAATGAGATGAGACTACACTAAATGGATTTACCATGGCAAGGTTGATGAAGATGGAGAAGATGATGATGAAGGTCCAGAATTGGGTGATGATAACATGGAAGAAGAAAATAGAGATGATGATGATATGAGTGAAGATAACGATATAGGCGAAGATGATATGCTTGGTGTTCTGAACGACCTCATGGCTCCAATAGCGAATCCGGAAGAACCTAATGCCCAAGGTCAAAATTTCTACAAACTTTTTGGAGAGGCCCAATCACCGTTGTACGAGGGATGTGCTTCGAATGTGTCAAGATTGTCATTCGTCACAAAGCTTATGAAAATCAAGTGGGAGAACAACTGGAGTAACAAAATCAAGTTGGTCAAGTATATCCAGGCTGTCTTTCCTATGGCGCAATCACTTTCAAAGAATTACTATGAAGCAAAGCAGCTTATGAAAGCTCTTGGGCTACATTAAGAAGAAATAGATGCATGTGAGGAATATTGCGTCCTATACTACGCCGAGCTGGCAGATGCGACATCTTGCGCCACGTTCAAAAAATCAAGGTGGAAGAAAGTTTATAAGGATAAGAAGGGCATAGATAAGAAAATTCCGTGCAAAATTATACGGTATTTTCCCATCAAACCACGACTACAAAGATTATTCATGTCGTCCAAAAATGCTGAAGATATGGTATGGCATGCTCTAAACCACTCAAAAGATGGGATCTTGAAGCATCCATTGGAACGAAGCCGAATGCGAAGAATTTAGAGGGAAAAAACGATGAAAAGTACAGGAAAAATATACTCACTTGTAATGCTAATTGGAGATCATATTTCTATGTATCTCTTATAAATAGTATGTCAATGTGATGTAAAATCATTTGTATCTTATTGTACTATTGAATCAAATTATTATGTTTAATGAATATCACATATACTCCATATTGGTGCAACGAGTGTAATTCTTTTATGAGCATCAAGTGTATCTAAATTGAATAATGTATACAATGATATATTTTAGTGCTTAAACATTTGGTTTATAATGTCATTTTTGAAAAAATATTGTCCGATGTGTAATTATAAAGATTCTATCAACAAATTTGGTTGACATTGCAATTTCACTCATAGTGACTAGCCACACTTTTTTTCGTGGCAAGAGCTCTAGTCCTATAGTCACGGAATGATATATGGCAAGTTCATAGATTATTTCATGGCAAAAAACATTTTTTATTAGTTTCGAATGAGATAATGTGTAGCCAATGACTATATTCAGCTATGTATTATGTTCTGCGTAGCTAAACACTTCAATGGTTTTGCCACACCACTTTTACTTTTATGGCAAAATGCTTTTAGTATTTTTGCTTTAATATATAATTAGTATGGCTAAAAACCTCTATTATTAGCTACACAAGTGCAAAATTGTATAGCTAACCTTTAGCTGCGCCACTTTTAGCCACACGAGCTACAAAATTATTTTATTTATGGCTATATATTTTAGCCACACCAAATTGGACCTTTAGCCACAAACAATTGCGTAGTTGTATATGCATTTTCTTGTAGTGATGCGATGGAGAGGGTTGGACTGTTTTGGACGAGTTTGACCCATTTTTTGGTTCTGAACCCCGCAACGTTCGTTTGGGACTAGCGACTGATGGTTTCAACCCATTCGGCAATATGAACAACAAGCACAGCACGTGGCCGGTCCTTCTATTCCCGTAAAATCTCCCTCCTTGGAAGTGCATGAAGAATCCTTTCACCTTCCTGATATTGCTCATTCCTGGCCCAAAAGCTTCGGGTAATAGTATAGATGTTTTTTTGAGACCTACTATCGATGATTTGAAGGCTTTGTGGAATGAAGGCTTGTTAACTTATGATGCATTCAAGAAGGAGAACTTCATCATGAGAGCTGCATTGTTGTGGACCATCAACGATTTTCCAGCTTACTCTAATCTTTCTGGATGGAGTACGAAAGGTAAATTACCTTGTCCATCGTGTGCAGGAGACACAGCGCATTTGAGGTTGACGAACGGGCATAAGGAGTGCTATATGGATCATCGTCGATTTTTGCCATTGGATCATAAGTGGCGCAACCAAAAGAAGCAATTTAACGGTAGAGTATAGAAGAGGCCCAGACCAAGGCAATTGTCATCACTCGAGGTATCAAATCAGATCCACTCATTCAGTCAAATTGTGTTTGGGATCAAAGGAAAGGGTAAAAAGATCGATGGATTTGGTAAAGAACATAATTGGAAAAAAAATTCCATTTTCTTTGAATTGTCGTATTGGAGTTCACTTAAGTTACGCCACAATTTAGATGTCATGCATATTGAGAAGAACGTGTGTGACAGTGTTTTGGGTACAATGATGAGTATTGAAGGCAAAACCAAGGATAGTCTAAATGCCCGCAAAGATTTGCAGGAGATGGGATTGAGAAATGAATTACATCCTGTAGAGAGGAACGGGAGAACAGTGTTACCTCGAGCTTTATATAGCTTGCTGCTAGCGCAGAGGAAGGAATTCTGTGAGTGGATATCAAACTTAAAGGTTCCAGATGGTTATTCTGCCTATTTGAGGAATTGTGTGAATGTTCAAGAAGGGAAGATTTCAGGAATGAAAACTCACGATTGTCATATCATGTTGGAAAGATTAATTCCTCTTGCAGCTAGGGACTTCTTTCCGAAGGCTATAGTGGACCCCTTAATTGAGTTTGGCAATTTCTTCAAGAATATATGTTCGAAGGAGCTAAGTTTGAAAGACTTATCAACCATGGATTCTGAAATCGCCATAACCCTCTGTAAGTTGGAACGTGTATTTCCCCCGACATTCTTTGATATCATGATTCATTTGGCCATCCATCTACCTTGGGAAGCAAAAATTGTTGGACCCGTCCAACATCGTTGGATGTATCCAGTGGAAAGGTATGAATTTCATTATCTTTAATTTATTGTTTTTTTTTTACTAATTCCTTAAACATGTCCAAAACTGTATTATTTTTCGTTTTTACTAATTCTTGTAACGTGTCCAAAAATTTATTGTTTTTTTTTGTTTTTTACTAATTCTTGAAACATTTCCAAAAAAAATTTGTTTTTCATTTTTTACTAATTCTTGAAACATATCTAAAAATTTATTGTTTTTGTTTTTTTACCAATGAAGAGGATTAATTATTAATCTTTCTTACTTTTTAACTAGGTATCTGAAGAAATTGAAAGGTTGGGTTCGTAACAAGGCAAGATCAAAAGGATCTATTGCTAAAGCATCGTGATTGATGAGTGTGTTACATTTTGCTCGCAATACATGACAGATATGGAAACTCGATTTAATCGTCCTGAAAGAAATGATGATAATTGCGGAGGGAACCGTTCACCCACATAATTTGTCCATTTTGCCATGTGTCGGTCGTTTTATTGGTACATTCATCATGAAGGACTTTAATGATGACTTGTTCAAGGCTGCAACGTTTTATATCTTGCAAAACTGTGACGAAGTCGATGATTTTAGGCGGTATGTACAATTTATACTTCTTCAATACTGTGAGTATTGCTACAATAATCATATTATTTTAAGAATTTTCATATGTACTATGCTACATATAGACAACACAAGGAATTTTCGGATGGACGCAGTGTGAGAATGGTTGAGAGAGTGCATAGGGAAGAATTCCAAAAGTGGTTCGCTATTCAGGTAACTATTTTGACACGAAAATTTTGAAGTGTTGTCGTATTATAATATTCGTGTACAAGCCGACAAAAAAATTGCTTCATGATGTAGGTGGGCAAAATGATTGATGACAATGTTGCAACTTTGCATCCCTCTATGATGACTTTATCTCGAGAGCCGGAAAAACGAGTGTTGTACGCACTACTCAGGATATTGCATCAATGGATTTAGATTCCACACAAAAGATCACGAGATTAGAAAAACAAGTCAAAATAGTGGAGTCTTGGTACGAAGTGAGGAAGGTGTGGGGATTCCTTACTATGGCGTAATTGAAGATATCATAGAGTTGCGATATATCGAAGGGCTTCGTGTAGTGTTATTCCAATGTGATTGGTATGAAACCACTCGAGAAGGTGTAGGCTATAGGAGGGATGGCCACGGTGTTATTAGTCTCCATAGAAGTCAAAGGCGACCAACGGACGAACCTTTCGTTTTGGCAAGTCAAGTAACCCAAGTGTTTTATGTGGAGTGTGCCAGAGATCCGGAATGGGACATGGTGGTTGAGACAAGGCCGAGGAATTTTTATAATGTGGCGGATGTCGAGGAAACTTTAGAAGAACAAGCATACCAAAAGGACGAAATGACTAATAGGGGTCGAGTTATCGAGGATGAGGACGACGATGTTAACTTAAACTTGCGTGGCATGGGTTATGAAGAATTTCATTAATCATGTAATAGGATTTCTAAATTTTGCTTTTCCTACATTATGAACTTGTTATTTTTACCGTTATTATCAATTTTGATTTTGTTAAACATATACATTATGGTATTGTTATTTGGTCGAAATTATTCATATATATTAGAGATAAATTTATTAATATATTTAAATCACTTATATTCGAAAAAATTGGGTTAAATCGCACTAAAAAAAGATTTGGGTTAAATATGACTAAGGATACTCATTATCCCTCTTTTGAAATTATTATTCAATTAAAAAAACTTAATCGACGGTGGTTTGCGAAAAACAACACTGTTATAAAAAAAATTAGAAAGACAACACCACACGTTCCAACACAAAAAACGGCGCCCCATGACGATATGCATCGAATGTTGGGTGTGGAAGAGGGGAAACTCCCCTCCACCTCTTTTCTATTCTCATTTCAGACGAAAGATCGAGTTCCCCAGACTTCAATCGATCGAGTTCCCCATACTTCCCTTGAATGGAAATCGCTACGGAGAGTGTAAACGGCGGTGTCAAAGGTCGCGTCCAACGTTTAATTGAGCACAACATTCTAGAAACTCTCGCCGCTTTAAGCCTGAGTGAAGGAGACAGCGAAGAATCCATCATCAGATGGAGTGGCACAAGACGCAAAAGCCTATCGAGATTGATTGCTGCGTTTCTGGGAGGTACGAAGCATCAGGATTGATTTTGATTCAATGAATTAATTAAAACATGCATTTACTTTCGATAATAATTGTAAGTTTCCCGTTACTTGATTCATCCGAGCTTTTGGCCTTCAATTCTTTACCCTATTCCTAGAAACAACTCAGCGACTAGTTTACATTGATTATGGTTCTTCTATTGATTGGGACGCTTCTATTTATAACGAACGTCCTCACACATTACTTTTACCTACACAAAACCCCTCCCCTCAGGAAATAAAAAACGCAGACGAAAAGCTTTATCTTGCTTGTGCTAGCTAGATGGGAAGGCCAAAAAAGGCTGGAAAGACAAAGCCTTCCAAAAGGCCAGTGGAGGAACCAGAAAGGTCAGCCCCTCTAGAGATTGTCGAAGTGGTTTCTCAGGAAAATGAAACAGTGCCAGAAAACTCAGCAGGCAGAAAGGGAGGGTGAACAACATTTGAATGAGTTGGAGAATGAAGAAGTTCAGCCCTCGAATGGCGACATAGATTTTGAAGAGGATGTGAACCTCAACCAGGGGGCTCACTCTACTAGGGGAGGTTCTTCAGCTCAAAAGAAGAATGGTAGAGGTCATGGAATAGGGGTGAAGCCTGGCCATGGCCTTGAACTTGAGATACATGACAACAGGTAATAAATCATGATATTGCCCTTCCATGTGACAAGCTATAATTTCCATTGAGCCGAATTCTTATGAACTTTCTTTTGTATTTTAAGGATCGTCACACCACAGGCTGCCCATGAACTCACTGCCATCTTCAAAAAGAGCATCATTGGTCCATGGATTAAATTCTCGGAGTGCTAAAAGAAGAGATAGTGCAGGTGAAGAATGGAGTTCCTCATATTGTCGAGGACACATTGAAGAGGCTAGGAGTTACTTTGCCAGAGTCCTCAAGTGTAAGTGTTTGATGCTGTTTTCAGCTGGTTGAGCATGAATGGTCTGAACCTTATCATGATCTATTTAACTTTGTAATTTAGGTTGGAGACAAGGGGGTGAATGATGAAGATGAAGAAGGAGACGAGGAAGTGAATGATGAAGATGCGGACGGTACTGATAATGAGAACATATCCCCATGATGATGATGATTACTAAGTTTGTAGCGCTAGGAAGAAGGCAGTAGTAGGAACTTTGCAAGTTCCAATTTTCAATCGGAAGTTTGCACCGCTAGGAAGAAGGCAGTTGTAGGAACTTTGCAAGTTCCATTATTCAATCGGATTATGTTTATGTTATGTTTTGTTTTGTTATGTATTCTGTTATTTTGTTATATGTTTCAACAAGTGTTGAAGGTGGTTTCCTTGTGCGTTTAAGACAATTTTGGTGGTTAGGCCATCTAATTTTATGGAGAAGTTTCCTTTTTTGCTAATAAATTGCATTCAATAATTTCTTTTATGCTTTTAATAAATTCCCTTCAAAATACAATTTTATTATTATTATTTTCAGTTTTCATCACAAATAATATATAGTAAAAATATTTAAAATATCGGACAAAATTGTAGTTTTAACGGTATAATTTGGTTACAGTAGAACGAAATTCGGTTAGAATTGTCGAGTTGCTTCCCACGAATATTTTATGTTGCAAATATTCTATTTGTAATGCAACAAATTGGTTAGCTTTAGTAAGTCGTTTCCAACGAATATTTTGTGTTACAAATATTCTTTTTTTAACACAACAATTTGGTTAGATTTAATATGTATCTTCCGATGAATATTTTGTGTTACAAATATCCTATTTTTAACGCACCAATCTGGTTACATGAACACAAAATTTGGTCTAATTTAATAAGTTTCTTCCCAGGAAAATTTTGCGTCACATATGTTCGATATTTTTTTCTGAGCTTATTGTCTTGTTGCAAACTAAAAATACAATTATTATGAATAGTTTTTCGTGAAGCAAGATAGTCATTATAAATACCACATGGGTGTTTTGGGAACATAATTAGCTCTCGCAAAAAATGTTCTTTTATGACAAACAATTGTGGTCAGAACGTATAAAGGATATTTTCGGGGAAAAATGTCATTTTTTATTAACGAATTTTTTCTTTACTGACAAACTCGTTTTCCTCATTTATAGTTTATCTAACAAAACGCACTCCTCACAAATAATATTTCACCCCTTAAAAGTAGTTTTGGTCAAACAATTTCGTTAATTACATTTCTTTTCTGATCACGATATTTTGCTTAACGACACAAAATAATTGTCAGAAATGTATGAATTTCTGATGCAAGTACATTTAAACTATTAGCGAGGGAACTTTACCGCACCACTCACCAACGATCGTATTTCGTCAAAACAACCCTATTGTGACGAGAAAAGGCCTTTTGTGACGCCAATCGTCTGGAACATCAGCCAGTCTTTTTTGTAGTGATTAATATGATATGGATCTTCGGTACTGGTTGTGGCAAATGGTGGAAGAGAACAACTTATGATTTCGCCGATAGTGTTTCGAGATGGGTTGCGAATTGGTGGACCAATGCGATGATTTGGGCGAAAGATCATAGATGTATAAGTAAGTGGGGAAGATAATTGGAAGATGATATCTAATGGGCAATAAATGTAGATCCAATGGACAATAAATGAAAACAAAGGTGGTAGAATGGGAGAGTGGGGTAAAAGATGGAACTTGAAGCTTGCCCACTTGCAAGGAGGAGTGTGAGAGCCACTAATGAATTGTAACTCACAACCTAGACTTTTATATATTAATCTTCGGTAGCGGTCGTGGCAAATGGTGGAAAAGAACAACTTATGATTTCGCCGATAGTGTTTCGAGATGGGTTGCGAATTGGTGGACCAATGCGATGATTTGGGCGAAAGATCATAGATGTATAAGTAAGTGGGGAAGATAATTGGAAGATGATATCTAATGGGCAATAAATGTAGATCCAATGGACAATAAATGAAAACAAAGGTGGTAGAATGGGAGAGTGGGGTAAAAGATGGAACTTGAAGCTTGCCCACTTGCAAGGAGGAGTGTGAGAGCCACTAATGAATTGTAACTCACAACCTAGACTTTTATATATTAATCTTCGGTAGCGGTCGTGGCAAACGGTGGAAGAGAACAACCTATGATTTCGTCGATAGTGTTTCGAGATGGGTTGCGAATTGGTGGACCAAGGCGATGATTTGGGCGAAAGATCATAGATGTAGATGTAAGTGGGAAAGATGAAGCCAACCCAGGTCCTCTGGCAGATCCCTTTTATTTCCGTGGATATGAATAGCCTGGTCTAGTCCTAGTAGCAGAGCAGCTTACCGCCATCAATTACAACAATTGGAGCAAAGCAATGCACAATTCACTTGGAGCAACGAACAGTGGCATAGCCATGATTCGAGTTTAATGGGGTCTCATTTACAAAAATCTTTATAACATTGTATTCAATTATCAAATAAAATTTTCTTAAAAATATTCAGTCAACTAGTCATTTATCAAATCATTAGTTATTAGATTTGTACCTTACATTTTGTGTAACTCATAATTGAAAAGTGACATTTCAATAACTAACTAAATTAAATAGTTCTCAAGCAAAATCTAATACACACAATGATTTTATAAAACACGTTTGATGACAAAGAAATTATATATTGATAAGAAAAAAATTGTTGAACTAAGACCCTTTTAGATATAGCTGGAGGTTTTTGTACACATATTTAATAGAATTAGAAATTTTTAGAGTAAGGACTATAAAATTGGGGATTTTCAATGTCTATGACCAACATATTCTAATTTATTTGTGTGTTTCATAATACTAGGACAATTAAATTCCATATGAATGGGATCCTGAATTCTAAATCTACCTAAATTAAACAAGTATGTACATAAATATAACCACTTTAATTTATCCAAGTGGGGTGCTAAATTCCATATGAATGGGATCCTGAATTCTAAATCTACCTAAATTAAACAAGTATGTACATAAATATAACCACTTTAATTTATCCAAGTGGGGTGCTAAATTCCATATGAATGGGATCCTGAATTCTAAATCTACCTAAATTAAACAAGTATGTACATAAATATAACCACTTTAATTTATCCAAGTGGGGTCCTAGGACCCCACTCCCTTCCACCTCCCTCCGCCACTGACCACGAACAAGCTTGGTTTATTGATGGAACACTAGCTCAACCAGCAATTGACCACGCATCAGCCTGGGTTTGGAAGAGAAACAACATCATGGTACTTTCATGGATCCAACAAGCAGTTGAACATGGGATCAGAGGGACTATCATGTCAATAAAAAAGGTAACAGAAGCATGGAGAAGCCTCCGAGCTCGGTATGGACCAAAAGTGACTTGGGCAGGGTAGTAGAGTTCTTAGAAGCACTAGCTAGATTGAAACAAGGTAACCAAACTGTTATTGAATATTGTGGTAACCTAATATCCATGAAGGATGACCTCGATAACTATCAAGCCTTAGATCCATGTACTTGTACACCCACCAGTCATACTCAATGTAGGTTTATGTAGCAGTCTTTGTTTACTGTGATACAAACTATGTGATACATTTTGTAAGGGGACTCAATGAAAAGTTTGAGATCCCAAGTTTTGTTTGGAGAAACTTAGCCACCCATTCACAGGGTCATTCAAAGGATGCTGCAACATGAAGGACAACAGGGACAACAGTATGGTACTCAATAAGGATGCTGCAACATGAAGGACAACAGGGACAACAGTATGGTACTCAATAAGGCTAGGACATTGTTGCTGACAATGTGGATTTGGCATCGCGAAGCCATATTCCAGCAAGCAAGAAGAACAAACCCTATTGTACACATTGCAGATCTCAAGCCCAAAAAGAAGATTGTGTTATCACAAATAAAAGTACAACTTTAGTTTGTACCATAAAGAGATTTTACAAAAATGTATAGGTACAACCTAAAGTTGTATCATAACGCTAAGAATAGTAAAATACAACTTCAAATTGTACCATAAAGACAAAAACAATATCACCAATGCTTTAAAACATACTAAAATTTCTCCTCCAGTAATATTGTTTTTTAATGCCTCGTACTTTTTTCAATATATAACTTTGTAAATAGTTGTCGGATATAATTATAGCATCAAGCACCCGCTGGTCAACTCAAAATTACTAATTAGTTAAGACTTATATGAAATTCCGAAGTTAGTTGTGGTAATAAGAATTTTTTGCTTATAAGTTTGAAAATTTTATGAAGCGGCAACAGAAACAATGGAAATTTACGAACGAGAACACAAACGTTAAAAAAAATGTGAGAATCAAGTGTCACGTACGAATGAAATATCAAAATAATAGATATACAAGAAGAAAATAGAGCGGTTGAAATGAAAACGAAAGACAAAATGGAAAAATTAAAATCCTTCCATAAAATCAGGGGCAAAATAAGAGAACAAATAAATATTATTGGGGGAACAATCATCAATCAAACAAATACATAATGGAGGTTCTCCTCCAACCACCCTCTAATTTCACTTTTCCCGGCTCCTGCGACCTGCGCAACCCACGGAGGGGTTACTTGGTAATTTCCTTCTAATTCTTATAGCCCTTAGACTAACTTCGACCCAAAAGCTAAATTTAGCTTCCCAAATTCTCAAACATCCACCTTTGCCTCTCAAAATACAATATTTGCTCCAACCCTATACCTTCTAAATTTACATTCCCAAGTCAAAACCAACCAATCAAAAATTAAGAAAGAAAATTAAAAAAATAAAAAATAAAGCAGCTGGAAAGTGGAGGGTCCCGCGATAGACCTTTTTGCCTTCCCAAGTCCAAACCAGCCAATCAAAACCACCACTTGCAGGATGCATTTTTGCCTTCTCTTCTATTTCTCCGGCTATCTATCCACCCCAACTCCCATTCTCCAAATTTGCATCCCCACTTTTTGTTGGGTTGGAGATCAAAAAAGGGGAAAACCCCCACTTCTCCAAATTTGGCATCCAGGGTTGGAGACAGTCTTAGAGCAAGCAACGGATTTAGTTTATATCGGCTAATCTTACTAATAATTTATGTTGTCTGGATATGGGTTGTCCATGTACACTATTATAATTTTTATTAGCTTTATGCTGTCTGGATATGGGTTGTCCATGTACACTATTATAATTTTTATTAGCTATTTAGTTAACTAAACGACACTTGCAAAGTGCAGGTGCAAGTAAACTGATGTTTTTAGAATTGGATCGGATGTTTAACCGGAAAAGTTACGGATTCATACTTCAATGATTAATCCATATAGAACCGTATGTT